AATAGTTGAACATCAACCAATTCTTTTTGGTATAGTGACTCTGTGTATTCCTTCCTTCTTCTTTTGATGCTTCCTGCATCATTCAATATTTTGCCATAGAAATCTTCAAAATTGCAGCTGGAGGCTTGAATTTTTTCTTCAGTTCTTTCAGCTTGAGAAATGCCAGGTATGTTCTTCCCTTTTGGTTTTCTAATTCCAGGTCTTTGCACATTTCATTATAATACTTTGTCTTCTCAAGCCACCCTTTGAAATCTTCTGTTCAGCTCTTTTACTTCATCATTTCTTCCTTTCACTTTAGCTAGTCTACGTTCAAGAGCAAGTTTTAGAGTCTCCTCTGACATCTATTTTAGACTTTTCTTTCTTTCCTTTCTTTTTAATGACCTTTTGCTTTCTTCATGTATAATGCCCTTGATGACACTCCACAACTCGTCTAGTTTTCAGTCATTAGTGTTCAGTGCATCAAATCTGTTCTTGAGATGGTCTCTAAATTCAGGTAGAATATACTTAAGGTCATACTTTAGCTCTCATGGACTTGTTTTTGTTTTCTTCAGCTTCCACTTGAATTTGCATATGAGCAATTGATGGTCTGTTCTGCAGTCAGCCCCTGGCCTTGTTCTGACTGATGATATTGAGCTTCTCTGTCGTCTCTTTCCACAGATGTAGTAGATTTGATTCCTGTGTATTCCGTCTGGTGAGGTCCATGTGTATAGTCACCATTTATGTTGCTGAAAAAAGGTATTTGCAATGAATAAGGCATTGATCATGCAAAATTCTATTACATGATCTCCGACATCATTTTTATCACCAAGGCCATATTGTCCATCTAGTGATCCTTCTTCTTTGTTTCCAACTTTCACATTCCAATCACCAGTAATGATCAATGCACCTTGATTGTATGTTCGATCAGTTTCAGACAGCAGAAGTTGGTAAAACTCTTCAAATCAAAAAACCACTTGTCAGTTTGTCATACTGTGGTGGTTTGCATGTCGCTGTGATTCTGAAAGCTATGCCACCAGTATTTCAAATACCAGCAGGGTCACCCATGGTGGACAGGTTTCAGCAGAGCTTCCAAATTACTACAGACTAGGAAGAAGAACCTGGCGGTCTACTTCTGAAAAAACTGGCCAGTGAAAACCTACTAAAAGTAGATACTTCTAATTCCTCCATTTTAGAGGTGAGAAAACTGAGACAAAAAGATTAATTGTCCCAGTTCCCACAGCCAATGAGTATCAGAGATTGGATTCAGCCCCAGGCAGTCTGACTCCAGAGTCTTAGTTCTTAACCCCCAGTTCACCTGGAGTGGCCTAGCCTGCTCACAACAAAGTTCCCCTTCCTGAATTCACATTTAGGACAAACTGTGAGCTCCTAAGGGCTCAGAGACCCAAGCAAGGTACAGGCAGCCAAGTACTGACAAGATATGGTTATACCCCAGTGTTGCTCTAATGGTACTCTCATGTGCACCTCGAAATTCCCAAGTTTGCCCTTAACATCCCCTAGAGTCAGAAAGAAGCCCTGGTGGCACAGTGGTTAAGCACTCATCTGCTAATCGAAAGGTCAGAGGTTCGAACCCACCAACTGCTCCACAGGAGAAAGATATGACAGTCTGCTTCCTTAAAGGTTACAGTCTTGGAAGCCCTATTTACAGTTATACTCTGTCCTATAGGGTCTCTATGAGTTGGAATCAACTTGATGGCAAGGGGTTAAGTAGAAGACGGGTCCCTGGGTAGTACAAATGGTTAAGTGCTGGGCTTCCAACTGAAAGGTTGGTGGTTTGAACCCACCTAGAGGTGCCTTAGAAGAAATGCCTAGTGATCTGCTTCTGAAAGGTCACAGCCATGAAAACCCTGTGGAGCACAGTTGTCCTCTGACACACATGGGATTGCCATGAGTCAGAATCAACTCCACGGCAACTGAATAAGAAAAGGGCAAGAGGAGAAAATGAGTCCCAAGTGCTTGAAGATGAGCCGTTTGGAGTAGAGAAAGTTGCTTGCCAGCCCAGTCCTTGAGAGATGCAAGGGAAGAGGGGAAACATGAAGGAGGGCATGTAAGTGTTTCCTGGGAGGGCTCTTCTGCTCCACTTTCTTGGCATCATTTAGCAAGGTTGTTTGACATGCAGGAGCCCTTCTTTGTGGCCCAAAGCCAGAGTGAGAACCTGCAGTGTAGGCAGATTTCTTTAGCATCGTCCCAGTAAATTACAGCCCCGCTACTCTGCAGTTTATAGAGATCTCAGCGGCCCAGCTCATAATAAATGGGAGTGTGACTCACAGATCTCCCAGCGCCAAGGCTGTGTTTGAGTCATTTGGGTTTTTTAAATTAGTGCTTTGAACCTCTCCAGGGGCCCAGTCCTCATTCGGAAATGATTAATAGTGGGGCTGGGTGCATTTGCAAAACAGCAAGCAGCCATGAAGTCATCCAAGTCAATAGCAGACAAGGGCTGGTGTGATTCATAAATAATCACATGAATTAGAGACTAAACGATGCTGAAAAAGTGTTAGAAATTGCTTCTAGGCCCTTCTTATCCTGGAGGTGAGAAGCCGCCATGGATGCTCTTTGGAGGACTGTTTGCCCTCTTCCTGTCGTGCCGGTTGTCTAAGAATTGGGGATAGCTTGGAAACCCTGCTGACATAGTGGTTAAGTGCTATGGCTGCTAACCAAAAGGTCAGCAGTTCGAATCCACCAGGTGCTCCTTGGAAACTCTATGGGGCAGTTCTACTCTGTCTTATAGGGTCGCTATGAGTCAGAATCGACTCAACGGCAATGGGTTTGGTTTGGTTTGGTTTTTCACCCTAGAGGTGACCCCTTGTCTTGAAACAACATGAGAAAGTTTGCTAAATGCTTGCTACTCAGAGTGTGGTTCCTAGACCAGCAGTGAGGGCTGCGGTGGTTCAGGGGTAGAATTCTCACCTTTTCGTGAGAGAGACCGGGGGTTCGATTCCTGGCCAGTGTACCTCATGTGCAGCCCCCATCCGTCTGTCAGTGGAGGCTTTCGTTTGCTGTGATGCTGAACAGGTTTCAGCAGAGCATCCAGACTAAGATGGACTAGGAAAAAAATCCTGGCAATCTATTTCCGAAGATCAAACAATGAAAACCCTATGGATCACAGTGGTCCCAAAACCAATCATGGAGATGATGCAGGGCCAGGCAGCATTTTATTCCGTTGTGCACGGGGTCACCATGAGTCAGGGCCTACTGGACAGCAGACCAGCAGAATCAGCATCACCTGGGAGCATGTTAGAAGTGCCCTTTCTCAGGCCTGACCCCAGACCTACTGAATCAGAATCTCTGGGAATGGAGCTCAGGAATCTGCATATTTCTAGCTCCAATGCTCACTCAGTTTGAGAACCACTGTTCCAAATTAAGTGCAATTAAGCTCATGTCTATACCTCAGCTGAAGACCCAAGGCAGGCTAGCATCAGCTAAAAGGAAAACCAAAGAGCAGATTCATTAGTTATTATCCTGTTTACACTTCCACTGTCACACTAATCATCTCTTTGTTTTGCTAGGCTTCCCCACCTGGTTACAGTTATTAGTCCTTACCCATAAGGACGCTTTATCACCAGCCCAGGTGAGGGTGCCCAGCAGTCATTAAAGAAACATTTGAGTTTCTATGAATTTCACCCACCTTGCATTTCACAAGCCAGACCCAATGTGAATCATCAGTTTGGGGATTTTTCTTATACGGTTGGTGATTAATCCTTCAGTGGAGGGTATAATCCATAAATTGTGGATTCACTCCTGTTGTTTCTTGAGCAGCAGAGCAGTGTTCATTCAGTCTTTGCATGGACATATTCTACAGCCATTTATTGAAAGCTCAGTATATGCCACCACTTTGCAAGTGAAAATAGCTCCCAATCCCTGGGTAAGGCAAATCGTTAAGAGCTGGGCCACTAACCAAAACATTGGCAGTTTGAATCTACCCAGAGGTGCCTCAGAAGAAAGACCTGGTGATCTACTTCTGAAAAAGCAGCCAATGAAAACCGTATGGCGCACAGTTCTACTTTGACATGCATGGGGCCACCAGGAGTCAGAGTCGACTCCATGGCAACTGGTTTTGTTTCGTTCTGGTACCTACACCAGAGTAGAGAGAGGTATGATTAATACCAAATAGATTGCCTGGCCCCTTGGACATGCTGCCAGAAGATGCACATGCGTACCAGACCCGTATGTGTGAGTGTGGCTGACTCCAAACCCTGTCCCATAAAGACAAGTGTCCAACTCCAGAGAATCTCCCCGGCTGCTGAGAGCCTCCTCCCTCTACCACCTGAGCTGGGATTGACAGCACTTCTGAATTCACCTAATATTTCTTCAGGTGAATATGAAGGGAACCAATTTATTGAGCTGTTTGATTTGTGCCAGATATTCTTTCACGATATGAATAATATCTCCCAACATTAATAATAATTCACGAATATGAATAACGGTTAACCATTTAGCACTTGCAAAATACCAGTCTCTCCCTATGGGAATTAACTCATCCACAACAACCTTCTATGGCAAACCTTATTGCTTTCATTCCCATTTTGCAGTAGGAAACTGAGGCACAGAGAGGGTAAGTAACTTTGCCCACAGTCACACAGCTGGTAAGTGGCATAGTCAGGGTTTGACCACAAGCAGCCTGACTCTTGACCACAATTCTTCACATTATCTCTAAACCTCCAATGACTCCATTAGGTAGATATATCTCTCTATTTTTCAGACACAAAAATGGAGGCCCAGAAAAGTAAAATAATACGCCCAATGTTGCACAGGTAATGGGGACTGATTTCTGATTCCATCCCAAGCCTGTCTAATTCAAAAGCCCATCCTCTTCCTCCCCAAGCCCTCTATCCCTTACATCCTTGCTGCCAAACTGGGTACAGAAACATTCACAAACTTCCACCACTGCTACTAGCAGTGCATAAAGCGGAAGGGTGCCTGGGCCAGGCTGGGAGACCAAAAGAGAGTGCTGTGTTCAGAGCTGTTGTGGGTTTTAACCTTCTGATCTGTGCCTTCTGCCTCAGAACCCTCCATGGCAACGACATTTCCAGCGTTCCCGAAGGCTCCTTCAATGACCTGACATCTCTTTCCCATCTGTAAGTAGCCATATTTCTACCAATGCACATCCACTCAAAATGGAAAATAAGTATAGTGCCAGAGACAATGTCATTTCTGTTAACATTCTGGTATATGTTTTTTCAGGTATGTATACAGTATGTTTTTCAAAAAGGTATCCACGTTGTGCATGTTGTCTTGACACCTGCTTGAAATGGCCTTCAATGGTATCATCAATTATGTAAATAATATAAACATTTAATAACAAGAACTAATATAAAACAGTTACTATGGGCTAAACCCTTTAGATGGATTCTTTCATTTATCTCTTACAACATGAGGCATTTTTACCCCTTTTTTATACTAGATGACATTGAAGCTTAGAGAGGTTAACTTGTCCAAGCTAGCAAGTGGCAGAGCCCCAGTTCAATTCCAAGTTTGTCTGACTCCAAAGCGCATGTTCTTACCCACCTTGCACTCTGCCTCAGGTATCCCCTTCCTATTTTACAGAGGGGAAACTGAGGCCCAGAAATATTAAGTGACTAGCTTTAAGCCACCTATCAAGTCAGTGAGACATTGGACAAGAACCCAAGTTTCCTAACTCTCCAACCGATGAAAGTCCTAAATTTTGTGGTGTGTGATGGTAAGAGGAAATCCTGGTGGCATAGTAGTAAGAGCTATGGCTGCTAGCCAAAAGATCAGCAGTTCGAATCCACCAGGCACTCCTTGGAAACCATATGGGGCAGTCCTACTCTGACCTATAGGATCACTGTGAGTCGGAATTGACTTGAAGGCAACGGGTTTGGTTTTTTGGTTTGATGGTGAGAACTGCTAGCTCAAGCTTGGGATCAATAACTTACTGCTTTTGTTAACTTGTAACTTTCATACAGACCTAATCTTGTAATTAAATAAATGTTTTCTTTGTAACCAAGCTAAGAAAGAGTGTTGTCAGCTTGTCCCCAAGGAGCCTTGATACAAACGGTATATCTAACCCCTACGTTCCCAGAAAGGAATGTCTTGCAATTGTCTTGTAACCCCCCTGTAACCCTATAGTCGCCAAGTGGTAACTAACCAACAAAGCACACATATCAAGAAGTAGTTAATCAACAAGACTCTTTAAACCAATCAAGTAAACCCACATATCGAGTTCACCAATCACTGTAAAGCCCCTGCTTTTGTTAACCCGCCTTTGACTTTTGCAAATCACTAGTAAGCCAGTCAGAATAAAATGATTGTTAGTTCCTGCTTCAACAGTATAAATATCGCCTGGATGCTTGTAGCTCCTCAGAGTGTGCTGGATTTCACATTGTGAGACTCGGTGCTTCCGCATCTCGACTTGCTCTTTCTTCCAGTAAAACTCTCTTGATTTTATTTTTAAATAGAGCACATGTCGTTACTCTACCAAAGGCCAGCTGTCTCTCCCTAGATCAGGCATCTCTACTTTTTTTTTTTTTTTCAATCACATACCTCTATCAGTGAAAATTTTGAGCTTGTCCTCCTACTACATACATATTTAATTATTTTTATATTATGTACATACACTACAATACTAATATCATGTGTGTATATTATAAAACATTAAACATAGACATTTTAGAGCATATGATAAAAACAATAAAGAGGTTCTAGTATTTTCTTCCTGGGCACCACTTTGGAGTGTCTGCACTGGACCGTGTCCTTCTTTCCCTGCATTTTCAAGCTGAGTGATCTGAAGCTACTTCCTAGATTGCTGGGTATCAAAACCTTCTCTGTATAGATCATTCTCCAGTGGGCCCTTCAGCAGGGCAAGGGAACCAGATCATCAAATGGCCAGAGGTCCAGGAATCTCCCTAGAGGATCTGGGTTGGGGGTTGAGTTGAGGATTGATTCTGACAGGGGAGAGCAAAGCATCAGAGGTGGGAGAGGCACAGGTGGGGTTGAAACATCTGCAGGGATTGGAAGTGCAGTGTAGAGACATCAATTTTGCCCCAGTGGAGACTACTTCTCCTTTGGTCCCCACATCAGACACCCCCAATCTAGCCTCACATCTCCTGTCTCCTAGGGCACTGGGAACCAACCCACTGCACTGTGACTGCAGTCTGCGCTGGCTGTCCGAGTGGGTGAAGGCGGGCTACAAGGAGCCTGGCATCGCCCGCTGCAGTAGCCCAGAACCCATGGCTGACAGACTCCTGCTCACCACCCCCACTCACCGCTTCCAGTGCAAAGGTAGGTGTTGCCGCCCATACAACCCTTCCCAACCCCTCATGGGGTCTTCACAGTCTCCAACAGCCTGTCAGAGCTGGGCATCTCAATAGATGTTACTTTTGAAACCATCACCCTATCTCTTCCTTGAAAAAGCCCTGCTGGTACAACAGTTAAGCAGCTCAGCTGATAAACTGAAAAGTTGGCAGTTCAAACCCACCCAGCAGCTCCGGGAGAGAAAGACCTGGCGATCTGCTCCTGTAAAGATTGCAGCCGAGAAAAACCTACGGGGCAGTTCTACTCTGTCACATGGGAATTGAGTCGAAATTGACCGGACAGCACCTGACAACAAAAACATCTCTTCTTGGGTTACACAGAGAGACTCAGATGCTGAAATTGATGCCGACCTGCATCTAATTGCTGTCTGTCGTTCTCTCCTCCAAGTCCCTCTGCTGGCATTTCTGCATATTTCCTAACTGACTTCTTTCTGTACAGATTTTTGCAGTATTGAAAAAATGTTTAACTACCATTTTCCACTCAACTGTTCTATTAGAGCATGAGCATTTTCCCATTTTACTATAGCAGACGTTCGTACATATGATTTGGATTGACTGCACCATTATAATAATGACAGCAAACTACTATTGAGTCTTATTATGTGACAGGCACTATACTGAAGCACTTTTTAATGTATTATTTCATTTAATCCTTATTCCTCATGTATTAGTTTATTTAAATCTCCAGCACCTCTAAGGGATAGACTTTAGTATTACCCTCATTTTACAAAAGATAAAAAAAACTGAGACTTAACAAGGTTAAATGACTTCTCAAGATCATGAAATTAGGAGAATTCCAGGTCTTTCTGACTCCACACTGTTGATCACCAAACTGTAATATTTCTTTGCAAGTTATTTAACCAGTTCAATTTATTGAACCCTTAGAGTATATCCTTTTTTTTTTTTTTCCGTTGATGCATAGGGAGTCCCTGGGTGGTACAAATGGTTAAGTGATTGACTAATAACTAAAAGATTGGCAGTTTGAATCCATCCAGAGGTACCTCAGGAGAAAGGCCTGGCAATCTACTTCCAAAAAATCAGCTATTGAAAACTATGAGCACAGTTCTACTCTGACACACATGAGGTTACCATGAGTCAGAGTCGACTCTATGGCAAGTGATTTATTTTTTTGTTTGTTTTATTTTTGTTTTTATTGATGTATAAAGGTCTTCTATTTGAAATTATGTTCCTAGGTAAGATTCAGAAAAGAAAAATTACTGAGCCAAAGTATGTGATCATTTTTAAGATCTTCACACATATTGCCAAATTTATTTCCAAAAAGAACTTTTACCAAGTTATGCTGCTAATGGCATCACTTGAATGCCTTTTTCACTAGATTCCATCATTATTTTATCATTGCTAATTTTTTAATCATTGCTAATTCAATCAGCAAAAAAAAAAAATTCATCTCCATATATTTTATCTGTCTTTGATTATTGAGGAAACTGAATTTTTCTCAAAAATTTATTTTCCATTTGTATTGCACACTTGTCTGTTAACATCATTTACTCATCTCTTCGAGCTTTAATGTTTATTTTTATTTTTAGATGTACTTTACTGTGTAATACCATTTTCTATGTTTTATTTTTTCCCACACAAAAATTTATACATACATTGTTATATGACTCTAATTGCTCTCCCCATACTGTGACAGCACACGCCTCCTTTCCACCCGATTCCCCATGTCCGTTCAACCAGCT